ATTTTATTACAATCTACATTTTATTACTGTTCCACATGGCTCTAAAACCTTTTTTCGTCAGTTTTATCACAACTTATTTTTAATAATTTTAAGGTTTCGATTGGTGTTCGTTGGTACTCCGTCTTCTACTCATCAATGACGAAATCGAAATTACGACGTCTTGAAGATGAGTTAGTGACGTTAGTGTTGAGACGATAAGTAAGCTATTCCAGGACATACTTCCTTGAATGTTCCGGAATAGCCTATTTATTAGAATTCCACAATTAATCTTTCATTTTGATTTTATAATGTGCCTCCGTATTTGTCCATTCTCTCTTATATTTATGAAATTCACATAACAGTATCGCTATTTATCTATCGTTTTTTATTTAATATTTTTCAAGCTTGCTCCGGGGGAAAGAACTACTTGCACTCAATTTTTCTTCTGTGATTTTTTAATGATTTTCAAGTAACGAAGTATGATATATGGCATTATTATTCCGAAAGCTTTAAATTCATTTATTATGGTTTTTATGTGAATTCTAAACTTTGGTTATAAGAATATTTGTTGAATTGCTAGTATGAAACGTAGTGTTATGATATGGCATAAATTTTATTCATGAGAATTTTTGTTATGAATTCATTTGGTTTTCTGTTTTTATGTTATAATATAAACTTTTATTAAATATTTCACACGTGTGCAGAAATATAATAAATAATGTACTTAGGTACTACATTTATAGCTGTCTCTATGAACTTAAAATATATGAGAATCTTCAATGGTCATCACTGTTATGATTTGAAAATTTTATTTTATTCTTTAATTATGCTTTCGATAACAATTATATCACATCTCAGCAGGATAGCTGCAGATTTGACAAAGCAATTTTAACTTTAATTACAAAAGAAAAATTAAAAAAATAGAGTTATAGCATAATATAGTTTCGCATGCTCTGAAGTTTTTGTATATTGAGTTAAACAAGGAAAGAGGAAAATTTTGTTTTTCACAAGTTGAAAGTGGATATTTGCAAGTGTGCGTAACATAAATGGTGTTGTGGTTCTATTCTATACCTAAGAAAAGCATTATTCGCTTAATGAACGATCGCTATATCCTTTTCTTTTCTCTCCTTATCTTTATTTTCATACTGTTATACTCCTATAATCAATTTTTTTCTACTACTAATATCAGCATCATAAGACATTATAAAGACATTTGTTTTTGCGTTTTTTTAGAATTGATTTTTGTGTAGCTCATTTTAGAATAATTGTTAGGAATATTGGAAGTAATATTAAACCATGTATCATGCTAAAAATAATAACAATAAATACCGTTTTGAAAAAGATTTGTACAATGTATGCTTGAACTGTGGCAAGTACCAAAATGCCAAGTATTGTTGATAAAGCTCCCTGAAATTTGAAAGGAAAAGCATGCTAACAAAAATTATTTCAATTGTTACTTCGATTTTCGAATGTTATTAATTTAAGAATTATAGGCAAATTTAGTGAGACATATTGCATTTAATTCTTGTTGATTAATGAATTATTTTAACTTGATGTTTTGATTGCATCGTTTGAAAAGCGAAAAAAAATAATTTCAATCAATATGAAATGTTACAGATACCAAAATTTCAAGTTTCTTATTTCAATTTTGAAAAAGTAATTTTAATTATTTGTTCTCAAAATCACACTACGACACTCATAAGCCGAAATATGCAAAAGTGGAGATAAAAAATTAAATTTGATGAGATGAAAGATCAAAGATCACACACCATGAAAACAGGCCATCCAATTGTTTCCAATGCACTAATTGCTTTGGTGTGTCGATCTCCGTCGGATTTCACGTATGCATAACCGATATGTGCGGATAAATCGACAGCAAAACCGATGCTCATAATAACTGTTATTATTGAAACACTTTCTAGACGTACACCCCAAAATGTCATGAAGCCAATTACACCTACAATTTTATCTTGATTTAATATTTCAGGTGGTTCCTTAAATAAGATGTCGAGAAATTCTTTACTCATTCATTCAAAATGTGAATGTTGCGAAACTCTAATAGTGGAGACAATTTTTATCCTATTACCTAATAGAATAGTTTGAATTAAGGTGTATTCTAAAATTAATTACACAACAAAATATTTTAAATTTATAATAAATTATGATTTTATTAGATTGCATTTTTCGAAAAATTTTAAAATTTCATAACTTCAGAGAATTCCAATATTGCTATCTATCATAAAAAATAAATGATTTTATAGGCTTATAATTTCTTCATAATTTCTGAGATCGTGTTTTGTTTCGAGTACGAATGAAAATTTAGGGAAAAATTGATCATCAA